TGTAATATAAACAATTTCAGGTATAAAAACTCTAAAAAATATGCTTTATATACCTAAGATAAATCAGAATCTAGTAAGCGTGAGACAACTAATTGAATTTGGTTACTCGATATTCTTTAATGATGGAGTGTGTGACATTAAAGATTAAAAAAAAATATTATTACTCTCTACTAGGATGATTAATAAGAGTTTTAATGTTAATTGGAAAGAAATATGTTTGAGTGCAAACACTTGGGATGATAATGAGTCTGTTCTTTGACATAAATGATTGGGGCATTTTAATTATGCAACTTTAAAAAGGATGGATGATCTACAGATGACCTATGGTTTACCAAATATACAAGAACAAAATGATATTTGTGAAGCTTGTCAATTAAAAAAACAGACTAAAGTTGTTTTTCTTGACAATGCATTTATAGCATCATCAAAGCTCTAGCTGATACACACAAAGCTAACAGTACTCTACACTCTACAACAGAATGGATTCAGTGAGAGGAGAAACAAAACATTGATAAAAATGACAAGATGTTTGTTATATAAAATGAAATTATCATTAAAATTCTAGGTATAGACAGTAAACAAACATCATACCTTCTAAATCAAATGACCTCAAGAGTTTTGGCAAACAAAACTCCATATGAAATCTGGTATTGTTTAAACCCATTGTTGATCATTTAAAAGTGTTTAGCAGCTTTTGTTATGTTTTGAAACCTAAAGCTAAAAGGAGCAAACTTGATCAAAAGGTTGATATAGAAATTCTTATAGGTTATAACACCAAACCTAAAGTTATGATTGCTAGAGATTTAAAAGTTGCAGAAGAATGTTATATAAAACTAGGAAACTGCTTCAATTGAAGGGTCAAAACAAAAGCAACAAGTTAATCTAGATGTTGCAGAAAATGGTGATGTTGTTAATGACAAACTAATAAGAGAGACAAGGTCCTTAACTAATATTTATAGCATATGCAATGTTGCTAAAGCAGAACCAATAGATTTTGAAGAGGCAATGAATTCACAAGTATGGATAACAACAATGAAGGAGAAGCTCACGATGATGGAAAAAGAATCAAACATGGATGTTGGTTGATAGACTAGTTCACAAGAAGGTAATTGGTGTGAAATGGATCTTCAAAACCAATTTGAATGCATATGATAATATCAACAAGCACAAAGCAAGACTTATATTGAAGGATTATTCATAGAAACCAGGTATTGACTTCATTAACACATTTGCTCTAGTATCCAGGCTTGATACAATAAAGCTTTTATTTGCTCTACTAGCACAAAATGGTTTTTATACTTTTAGTTGGATGTTAAGTCTATATTTTTGAATGATGTTTTAAATGAAGAAATATATTTTAAAAACCTGATGGTTTTGAGGGGGGGGAATTCATCAAACCAAGTGTATTTGCTGAAGAAGGCATTGTATGGACTATACTAGGCTCCTGGAGCCTGGTACAGTAATCATCTTTTAAGTGGACTATACTAGGCTCCTGGAGCCTGGTACTGCCTGGTACAGTAATCATCTCTTAAGCTTAGGATTTGAAAGAAGTATGGATGAATTAACTTTACATGTGAAGCATGTTGATAAACATAAACTAATCATATCAGTATATGTAAATGATTTATTGATTACAAGAGACAATGAGAAGCTTGTAGAAGAGTTTAAAATCAACATGAAAGATAAGTTTGAGATAAATGAACTTGGTTTGTTATCCTATTTCCTAGACATGGAAGTAACTCAGTCTAACCAAGGTTATTTTCTATGTCAATAGAGTTTTTCCTTAAAGATACTAAACAATTTTGCAATGGTAAATTGTAAACCAGTTAGTACACCTACAATACTAGGACAAAAGCTAATGAAGGAGGATGAATCACCAAAAACTAATGGAAAATCTGATATAAGTTTAGTTGGCAGTTTGTTGTATTTAATTGTCGCATGTCCAGACATTTTGTTTGTTGTCAATTACCTCTCCAGGTTTATGCAAGATCCAAGTCAAATTCATTTTATGGCGACCAAGAGAGTTCTAAGATATCTGAAAGGGACCGTTAGCTTTGGCATGTATTTTGTGAAATCTAGTTATGTTAATCTTGTTGTTTTTTCTAACAACAACTGGGGTGAAAGTGATAAAGGAATAATGAGCATCTCAGGTTATAGCTTTGCTATTGGAGATAGGAGTTTCTGTTTGTGATGTTTTGAAAATTAGTAGGAAAGGACAACCAAGCCCTTAGTGGCTTAAAGAGTAAGTATAATTAAATGAGGGGTATTGTGGTAATTGAATAATAGTTGATAAATATAAATAGGAAGAAAATAAAACAAAAGAACAAAAGAGGGAGCTGTGGTTTTTCGAGACCAAACGTAAGAGAGGGAGAAGGAAGAAGAAGAAGAGAAAAGAGGGGAAAAGAAGGGAAAGGGAAGAGATTGAGAAGAAATAACTTTAAAGGTAAGATTTAGGTTGTTAAATGTATAAATGTGTTGTTTGAAATTTAAATTTATGTTTTGATAA